CAGCGTAAACTGTGCTGCAGCTGATGCTGAGGCGCTTTACAAGGCCGGCGAAAAGTACGTTTCTCCCCCTTTTTTAAGGTCATGTAATGATTTAAATAACATCATTGCATAATTATTTGTGGGATGGTAATAGTAACTAGTACCTTATTGTGTGGCTTAAATAAACCCAAATTCGTGTGTTTATCACTAGTTCTTTGTTTGTCCCCCTAGACGCTTGGGTACTGAAGAAGCTGTTTTCACGAGAATCCTTACTCAACGAAGCTTTGAACAGATAAAGGCCATCTGTCAGTGCTATCAACAGGCATGTGAATTTAAACATTGTGCAAAGCACTGTATAGTCTGAATACCACCCTTAATGTGTACTCTGTAACCGATTCTTTTTGTTTATTGCTCAGAAATACGGAAAATCACTTGAAACTGCTATTAAGAAGGAGACTTCTGGCGACTATAGAGACACCATGGTTTCTATTGGTGCGTGACTAACTTGATTATGCAAGTTTATCTCCATTTAATGTGATACATAGTTGAATAGGAGTGATTTTCTTTTGAGTAAAGTAAATAGAACGGCGGTGACTTTTGCTGTTAAGTCGGTTGAAGGACATTTTCAGGATGTTGGCTTATTTTCTTCCCCTAAAGTTCGCTACGCAGAGGACAAGAACGCTCTTCTAGCTACCTGGTTCTACGAGTCGATGGTTGGAATTGGCACGCGCGACAAGGCCCTCATGCAGTTGGTGCTGGGTAGATGCGAGGTGAGGAGCATTCGGCCATATTTGCCCCCCCCCCCCCCCCCCAATTGCTATGACACTGAGGATGGTGATCTTCTTTTAGATTGATCTACAAGACGTTAAGGAGGCCTATCAGCGAAAATATGGGAAGTGCCTGGTAAAGGCCATCGAAAATGACACCTCAGGTGACTACAAGAGAATGCTCGTGGCTTTGGTTGGACCCTGAAAATCCTTAATTCCATTGATTAAATTTTTATTCACTTATTGCACGAACTTCCTTGAAGAGATCACTGCTTAAAGCTTGGAATATAGCTTATTTAAAAAAAAAACATTTTGTGTTGGCTTATTGGCGCTACGGCGAGAACTTAACTCTATTGTCGACCAAAGGAGATGGATTAGCTTCGTCTCGGTGGCCGGGCAGTGCTGTGGTGCTTTAAATTTCTTGTTCACTTACGTTTGTCCATACGAGCGTTTGAGTTTTAGCAGGTTGTATTTCCACGAACACGCCAGTAGCCTCTCATCCCTTCTGTATCTTGGTAAAATATGTGCCGCAACCGCTGTGGTTTCTTACAACTTCAGGAAAGACTCGGGGAGCTACTGTACTCAAGAAAAATTGGTCATGGTCCAGATCACGAACAAATACAATCATTAACCTATTTATATTGAGGCAATGAAAGCGGATAGGACGAAAATTGTTCCTTCTGTGTAAAAATGAAACGAATAATGTAAAAATCGGGCCTATTCTAAAGTTTATTTGATAAACTAGACAATAATTAAAACCCAATTTTAAGTTTAAAACCTTGCCGACTTTGGCGCAGCAATTTGTAAGGAAAATTTGTCAAAAACGACTGAATAAATAGCTTAATATCGTAGCCAAGTATCTTCAGAAAAAGAGATCTTGAACACCTTGAAATGGCTTAACGAAGTGGTTCTTATTTCTTTTCGACTTACTGAATTCTTGCTTTGCGTCAATCATAATCGACATGCATCAGAACGCATACTTAGTGTATATTTTAGTGAGGGTACAAAATTTGTTGTGCAACCTACAAACACTATAGATGAACAAAAATAATTGCACGTGATTTCAACGCAATAAACGAAGGCAACTAAATATTTAATCTGAGGTTTCTTATAATCATGCGTATTTGTTTGAACCAACTTGTAATAATATTGCACCCAATCACAGTAAACTTGTTTTTGCTTCTGACTGTTTTGTGTAGTATTTGGGGTTGGCGCGTCGTAGCTGCTTTTGAGTGAGTTTGTCCTTTGTGTCGGTGGACTGTATTACGAGTATAAACATTTCATAGTGTTGTTGGCGAGTCGTTTTTCGTCACTTCTTTCTGATTTGGATCATGCAGTTCATCTGGTTTTAACATCTCTTTTTGAGGGTTGCACATATCTCATGCTCACTTTCATAATCTGTGATTTGTATTTCGTATGATGTAATTGTTTCTCGAGGATGAGGAGTACTCGTTTTGATTTATTCTATAACAAGTGCAAATATGCCTATGAGTTTCTAATACCTCATCTTTGCGAATATTTAACCAACGAAGATACTGCCTAAATCGCGTCGCATACAACTACTTTTATCCCTGATGGATCGGTGCCAGGTGATTCCTAGCGATGCTGGTGTTCCACCTTGCGAGCGGAAGGGAAGTTCCAAATCACCTACCTCATCACAAGTTGAAAATGCGAAGACCCGTGTCTTATCAACTTGGAATTCCTCTCAAAAAACTAATGCGCAAACAGTCGTGCACTCTGGCAATGGTAAGTACTACTTAGCGTTTGGAGGATTGAAACCTTCCTAGCATTTAATGAAAGCTTGTGCGTATTTTGAGGCAGTCATTTTTTTCGCGTCCATTTCGGAATTTTTTGTGTAAATATACTTAGCAAAACTGTGAGGTATCGCTCACAAATCAACTTCAACAATCATGTTATTGTCTTTTAGATGCTCGGTCGACGTTGGCTACTGGTTCCCAGACTTGGATCTCTAAGGAGCACCGTAAAAAATTGCAGGAGCTGGTGCGAAGGCAGAAGCGGGCCCGGACTGCCGCTCGCAAGTTGGCGGAAGAAAGAGAACGTGAACGAAACCAACGAATAGCAGACAATCTAGCTGCTACAGCTGAAGCTGCCAAGCTAGCTGCGAAGCGTTCGTTGCACTTGAAAAGGGGCGATTCCTCAGTGGCTGCCGGATTAAAGGCATAAATCATTCTATAGTTAATAGTTTTTTCCCTTTTCGACGAGTATTTTCGATTATTTTTCGTGCCTTCTGTGATTCTTTAGAGCCGGCATCGTGAGCATTTGAAGAATGGTATTGATGTTAGAAATGATGAAATTCCATCCGAATGCGTGCTTCGGGCGTCTCAACTTCTCGCAGAAGAGGATAATGTTGTGTTTAAGAAACCTCGCTGCCTTACTACTCTCATTGTGCCCTCATCTCAACATTCATCAAGTTCGTTTCCCAAAGAAATTCATTCAATTGTTTAAACTTCGTCTTATTGACTTACTTCGTTTTGCGATGCGCTTGTCTGATGGCCATTCTGGGTCTGTTCAGGTTAGTTTGACCTTTTTTACTTATACAGGGGAAAGCAGACTTTCACGGAACCTCGTTGTACCTGCCTCCGCTGCACAACCGGTTTACGCGAAAACTCGCGGAAGCAAGAATTGCCACAGCGTCGTCTCTTCTACTCCCCTTTTTAATCCCTCGAAATTCCTGTCTGAACATCTGTATAAGAGTTTTCCCGACGGTGGTAATGTAAATACGGCGAGCTCAAGGCTATTTCCTGGTCGCTCTGGAGCAGCTATTGTTTCTACCAGTATGGCTACTACAGCTTCTACTTAGCTATCTCTTTAAAAACTTGACTATTTTGTGTGTCCATTTCAAATGATTGTATGGTTAATGTTTTTTAGGTCTTCCTTTGAAAAGTCGAACGGCAAAATCGTTCGTTGGGAGTTACTACCCAAAAGCGCCGAGGACGAAAGGATTTGGAGTTCAGGTTGATTTATCTGACCCAATTTCCTTCTGGAGGTAAGCCGTTTTAGAGCTAATGATGCTTAAATTGCGTTTCATTGACACGTGTTTCTACATGCTAATGATGCACGGACTCATGGTTCGGTAATTGGTCATATTTCAGTACTTTATTCTTATTACGTGACGGTAGGTGTTGTGGTTCGGAGTTCAAGCTTGGAGTTTAGGTAGGTCTGATCAGCTTACCCATTAACATATCCCTTGTTTCTTTCTCCCCTTGTCACTCTAACATCACGTGCACGTGACTGAGATTCTTGCTCCAATGTTTTTATCCTCAATTCTGCTCAAAAATGCGTCGATCATTCTAGACACACCGAAGTGATCACACCTTGGAAAGATGCTGAGAGTGAACAGGCACGTCTGCAAGCTCGTCTTTGTGTTAGCCGAGCCCGAAGGTTCGTCCGTTTGGATGCCGATGGGGATGACGCCAATGGCGATGGTAGGTCAATTCCTTTACTACCGAATCTTGGTAGTATTTCTATCTTCCATTTATCAATTCCTCATTATTCTTAGATTCTGGTGAAGCTCTTGTCTCTTCGTCATCTTCCTCTGCCTCTTCCAAGAGTAGCTGCATTTCCGAGGCGCAGCAAGTGGATGATTTCTTTGAACCTACCAAAGACCTTGACGACATGGTGATGAAGGTAGCGGAATCGTCACACTGGATGTCTGAGGCTGAGCGTCCTGGTGTGGAGTCCGGTACCCCTCTGAGATCTCTCTTTGACACCCACTTGCGATATCTTCAGACGCAGTCTAAAATCGAGTCCGATCCACTGCGTTTCATGGAGGTTTATAAACAGAAATGCCAACAACTCACCGCTCACCCGCGTGGCGACTCGTAAGTTTGTCTTCATTGCCTTTGGTTAATGTCTCCCTTCGTGTAGTCACGTTGAAGCCTCGTCGAGAGCGATTCGTCAGGTACATGTTAATGAAACGCACTTCAACTATGGCGACTGTACTTCCGTCTCTGAAGTGGACAAAACCAGTGAAGCGGCCTCTTCAATTCCTAGTCTAGTCGAAGAGGTATATTACTTGTTTACTGAAAAGTTTTAAGTAACACAATATTTTATAGACTGTTCACCCAACGAAACAGGCGGAGAGCCGTCATCAAACGGAGGTTCAACAGCGGCAGCGCCTAGCTCCTGCTGCGTTGGGACTGAGTTTGACTGCAGAATTGCATCGATATGAAACTCTTTCTGCCTCTGAGCAGCACATTGCCGGTCTTGAACTGACGCGACAGATATCACAGGCTCAGGCAGAGGGGCTTAGTATCTATCATCTGGCGAAAGTAAAGTGCCTAGATCGTTTACTCTGATCTTAATGTAGGCTGGGTATCTCCACGATGCGCAGAGCAAAGGCAGTTGCATGACGCGCGTTGAGAATATGAAGGAGTTGAAGGTGAGTGCGTTCCTTTTTATTCTTCTGCCGCTTTAGAATACGGCTGTGTCACCAATTGTACTTCCGAGGGTTAGCGTGCCAGTGACCCTCACACAAACCATCAAACAGAGGAGTTCTACCACCACTACCACTACTACTGCTGCCACTACTGCTCTCTTACACGGTAGGCGTTTAATTGCAGTTTTTATCACCTAGATGGGGATTTGGGAGTACTTTCTCACCTTTGGCTCTGCTATCCGAAAATTATTCGTGTTACTATGTCTAAAACAAAAAGGATTAACAATTCTAAAATATTGGCATTAGTTCGTCCCCTGCCTATTTGGTCGATCACACCTTGAAAATTCATTTGATTCAAGCCTTCCTCGTACCCTGTCGGACGTGGTTTAATGCCCAAAAGACTTGACATTTGGTCTGTGGATGTAAGATCTGCTGAATGTGATGGGAAATTTTGAAGTAGTGCTCGAGGAACACATTGAGAGAAAGTCAATCTGTCTTGTCTTTCAGCGATTCTGGCCAACTGTTTATTTGCATTGCTTTGTTTCCCGCATTTGATTGCTGAGGTTCATAGAAATGGTTTTAATGGTGAGGTATCGTCATGCTGGCACCACTGGTTTACGATTTCAAGGGGTCTTGAAAATCCCCCATTTCTATCAAGCTAAAGACTTGTCATTGTCATGGCATGGACGATTGGTAGTGATTTCTGTTTTGTTGAACGTTGACAAACCCGATTTAGGCCTTTTACTTTGAAACTTTTTTTTGCTTAGTTTAAACCTCGTGCAGCTCATTGGTAGGAGTGTGACTTCTCAAAGGATAGTTTATCCTATTTCTACTGCCAAAGTGCCTCAGCAATGGCTTGAACTCCTGTCTCTCCTGTGGTGGTTCCAAGATAATGGGGAATGCTGTTAGGATCCTATAGATACAACGCAGTAACCAGGGGGTACTTTGAAATTACCGCGGTTGTGCATCACTGATAACCGATCGACCAGTAACGTTTTAGTCTGAACTTCAGGTATCGCGTAGTTTCAAATTTGATCCTTGAGAGAGATCAAGGTTCTGTACGCTTTGACCTAACACTTCCTGTTAGATCCCAACCGGATTGGTGCCACAGATTCCCATGCAGGTTCGAGTACGGGCAGCTATTACGCTCCGCGCAGAATCGACGCAGATGCATCGAGCATGAATGTCTATGATGCGAACGTGACTCCGTCTAATTTAGAGGCCTCGACTGCTCTTGGTGACCTTGTCGACTTGAAATCGGAACAGTTTAAGGGGTAAGATTGTCCGTCAGTTTCTTTATTTGCTTTTTTTTGCTTCTTGTGGTTTTAGCCTTGGTGTTTTGGGTTTGGAGATTATACATCCCTCTCCATTGTATTTGATTGCACTTAAAAGTGGGTTTTAGTGGTAGAATTGCATAAAAGTACTTTCGAAGTTCGTTAAAATATTACTGGGACAAGGAAAGTATGTCTACTTTCATATTTGTTCAAATGCGGATAAAGGTACGCAAAGGAAATTTGTTTGGACTCCGTAATTTATTTTTCATCTGAACGTGTTAAGTTGTCAAAAAAATTTGCGGTTTTATGCACTAATCGTGGCTTGGCTTAGTTATCAATCATAATTGGACTGCTCGTCTACTACAACATATCTTTTCTAGCGATGAAAAGGTGAAGATCACTTATTTTTAATCTACACGTCTCCAGAATTTGGTCCTTTCTCAGTTTTTTTGCTCTCAATGAGACCTCTCAAGTGGGCTATAAGAAAGATAAAATTACTGCCCGTAGTTGTCTACTCTGAGAATACTGCATGGTATCTAACACCATTGCTTTAAAACAGGTTTTCTCTAGAACTAATCTCTATTCTAATACGCTGATTTCAACACATTACTTTAAAAATAATCTTTGTCTGATTTATCAATACGTCTGTCCGCTGCCGCCTTATTTCCACACACTTTTAATCATTGTCCCAGTTTATACCAATTTACTGATCTATTTATTTCTACTGCAATTATTACATGCTCATGTTTAGTGACATACTCCTGTTAAAGTGCTTTGCAAATATCTTGAGCACCATGTCAATTTCGTTCCCAGAATCCTACAGCAACGTGCTTCTGAGCTTCACGCGCGTCGTCATGAGGCCGAATTGCTGCTGAAATATGCCGCCAGGTTGGATCGTGAGGAGCGCAAAGTGGTTGCTCTCGAATCACGGGCTGTTAAGGTGAGTCAGCATTCTATTTGATGTTATTTCTTCTCACTAAGTCTTCGTATCCGCCATCCCTCTCTCTTTTCAGGCGCTCACACGATCGAAAGACCGACGTCCAGCAGCGGAAGCTTACATTCCACCCCAACAGTCTTCGCACTCCCCTTCTCCTTCACTTCAAACTTTGAAGGCGTAAGTTGGTGTAAAGTCATGCTCGAAGATTTTAAATAACAGTGATTTGTGTTTACTTTTCCCTTTCATAACGTCATCTGAAATTCGTTTGCACTCCTTCATAGCTACATGCCTACAAATCCATCATTTGGTGAGAAATCCTTGTTGGGGTGTTGTTATCTCTCTATGGAATGATGCTCCACTTTAATATCAGAATGGTGAGATGGAAATTGGTATATGCTGTTTGTAGCAGTAGGAATTGCTTAGAAGATATTTTGATGCATTACAAACCACGATTCGTATTGTTAAATTTGCTAGTTTTAATTTTGCTGATATTGGTAGTTGGATCTGAGCATTTTGTTGATTTCCTTGATTCTACTTCATGCTGCAGATTTCCTCTCAAAATCTGTTGAACATAGCTTACAAAAAACCGTGATTACCTTATCAAATTCCGCTTTTTTTCTCTTGTTTTTGAATCGGACTGTTTATGCCTCAGGGGTGCTGTTTAATGAATTGTTTTTGTCAAGCTTGAGTCTTTCCTTGTCCTCATATCCCTTGTTTTATATTTTTCTTCTGCAATATAGACAAAGAGAGAGTCCACCTTCCCCCACTCCTCCACCTCATTCTCCACCTTCACCCGATTCAGCAGCACCGCCACCTTCGTCTACTTCCTTGTTGTGCTCGTCGCCTATCATCTCGCATTCCCCTGGGCGGGTCAGCGTGGTGGAAGCGGAAAACGCGTCCCCCGTAGAGGCGCAGAAATCGATTGTCTCTCTCTCTGATCGACCCCCCTCAAAGTCGAGCACCAAGCGTGAGTTTTGCTGCTTTTTTCTGCAGCATTTGGTTGAATCAAATCTAGGGATTATGTAGGTTGGCTGTGCTAAATACGAATCTCCCTTGTTTCGTGGTTACTCTGTTTTCACAGTCAGCGTTCATGATTGTACTTTTGAATGGACCATTTTGAAAGTACCTTTTATTGCAATAATTTGCGCTCTAAATAATAATCCTTGATGGCGTGATTGACTTGAACATTTATGATTCCCTATATTTAGAGCTTTAATTATTGAATGCGTATCTCTTCACAGGTACTTTCTTTGCATATAGGTCCAGGTCCATTTTATGTCTGGATCGGCTAATAAAAGTTATTTTACGATGTATTTCACAACTATAATGGCGCCTTCCAACTGTCATTGTTAGGATTATTTGACCTATTTTGCTGGTATACGCGTCAACAGTTTTATAAAAACAAACGACTTTATTTTCTCCTCTAAAAAGTTCCAGAAAATAGCCTCTGCGACCCCCAGTTGATCAAATCATATTTTTATGATTAAAAATAGCTGTCATTTCTTTTTATCAGTGAGTTCGTCCCAACTAAGCAACTCCAGACAGCAAGGAATTCTTTGCAGCCGTGATAATGGTACCGATAGTGGTGAATTCGATGGCGCCGACTTCAGCCAGCAACATCTATTGTTGCGGGACCAATACGAACATCAAAATCACCAGCCACAGATTCTGTCACCCCGACGTCTCAGTCAGGACTCCACAAACTCCACTTCCTCCTCACCTTCCGGCCTTCGCGCGTATTCTGACAGCCTCAGCTCCTCGGAGTTTGTCTCTCAGCTGGAAGCTCGTCTGGTCTCCCTGCAGAGGGAGCTGCGGCGCAATGAGAAACTCCTCAGTCGCATCGATGCACAAAAGAAGATGGCCAACAAGGATCGGCTCATGCGGTTGGAGACAACTTTGGAGAATCACCGAAAGGTATACTCGCACCGTCATTCAATCGCTTCCATCTCACCTTATTATTTCTTCCTTCCAGTTTTGCCTGGAGATAATCAATAACATCAAGTTAGAGATAAGCTCTTGCCACCAGTCGCTTTGCGAGAAGACGAGTCAACTTGAGGCAGCTTCTACGGTTCCAATGACACCCAGTGCTGCTACACGAATTTCCTTGTCTCCAGAGCCCTCTTTCTCGAGCAAACCTGTGTTCCCGTCCTTTCGTGAGCCTAAAAAAGATGTAGAGAACACTAAAAGTTTTCTATCATCATCTTCTTCTAATGCTGAAGAGGAGGCAGTTGAAAGTATTTGCACAGTATCGGTGGAAGTGGAAGAGACGTCTGCACCCTTAGGAATGGACTCCTCGAAATCACCGCTGGTAGGAAAGACGTGTACTTCTAACTCAGGTGTGGGTGAGAATGGGAGACTGGAACACTTGGTGTGTTTGAATGCCGTGAAGTCTGCGTCATCAAGAACTTCTAATGTTGCAAAATTAGGTGAGAAAATAGCTTCTGAGATATCGTCGGAGTCATCTTCTGCAACTCAACGATTAACTCCACCGATGGAAGTGAATTTAGTTGTGGAACCTGCCTCTATGTATTCCGCGACGTTAAATGATGTGAAATCAGAAGAGTGCGTCAGTTTTGCAGAGACACTTGCTTCGGGGATGTCCTTAGCCAAGAGGACTCTGTCTCCTGTGGAAACGAAGATGCCTTCGTTGAACTCCACTTTAAATGAGCAGAATGGCTCTGTGGCTTTGAAGAGATCTGAGTCTGTGGAATCTCTTAACTCTGGGAGTCCTGAAGAGATAATAGTCTCGAAGATGTCTTCAAAGGTATCGGTTTTGACTGCAACTCCTTCAATGCATACGAAGACGGAACCATTAAAATCAGGCTATGACGAACAAAGGATTAGTTCTGCTGCTTCCACACATTCAAATACAGGATCTGGGAGTCCTGTTGAGATGCTGGGTTCTGAGGTGTCTTCAAAAGTCTCTACCTCGACTAGAAATATTTCATCCCCTGTAGACGCTGAGACGATCTTAAAACCAGTTGTTACTGATGGGGAGTCGAAAGCAGCACATTCCGGGTCTTTAAAAGTGTTGGAAATTGACGTAGCTGACAGTCCTGGTGAAGCAATGCCTTCTGAGATGGCTCCAGAAATGTTGATCTCGGTTGAATTCACACCACTTCCAGCGGAAACGAAATCTCGAGTTGACGCGAAGGTAGAAGTGGAAACTAAGGAGGCATCTGAGCTAAATAGGATCACTTCCCTTGAAGTGCTTCTACCAGGCAAGAAACCTGAATTAGTTGGATCAAATCAATCCGAAATTGAGATTAAGGAGAATGGTGGTGGTGAGGAGGAAAAGGGCGACAGGAGTTGCTTAATTGAGACCGTCGCCTCTGAGCTTTCTCTTGAAACGCCTTCTTTGAGCTCTGATACTCATAGCCCAGAAGTGCAAGAATTAAAGTCAGCGAAGACATCGATCCATCAAATCACAACTGGTTCTAACTCTGAATCGGCCTCGGACACAGGAGATGTCTACACAGAGGACTTTGAAGATGAGGTGTTCGCAGACGAGAATGAAAGGCAGCAGCATGGACTCGTAGAGAGTGCTGACGCTGTTTCGGAGAGACCAGTTTCAGCTTCCACACCGTCTTCTAAGTAAGTGTTGTTTCCCCATTCACTCGTTAGTGGCTTTTTTGTAATCTTATCGTCATATTTTTTTTTATAGTTGCATAGAAGTCAAGACAAATGCTCTGCTGGATGAATTCACAGACCGATGGCTGGACGATTTCATCGGTGAAGGAATCGACTCCGTTTTAGAAGAAGTGGAGGAGACCATGTCAACCGATTATGAAGAGGCATGTCGCTCATTTCCTCTTTATTTTCTTCCTCCTGTCGGGTGATAAGCTTACTTTTTTTGTCATTCAGGTTATTACCGACACAACGGGGATGGTAGTTAATACACCCTCGCGGACTGTACCACTGTTCAAAGATGTTATGGAATTCTTCTTCCAGCTCCGTGCCTCTTCGAAGCCTGGAACATTCGAGGAAGCTCTTAACTCGATCCAGTATCCGCCTCGTTTCACTGAGAAGTATGCCGAGGAGGAGGGTAAGTTTGGAATTCAACGCTCAATTACCGAAGAACTGTATAGACTTGGTTATTTACGATCTGCTTTGCGCTCCATTGCCGCTTTGATACATTTTGGTCTGTGGTTTGCTTCCGTAGCATGGGGAAGTACTTGATCTCAATTACCTACCTACTAAACTTTGCCTATATGCCACCTTTTGTTAGATGACCAAATATTGTTTCGTTCTGCGGGAAGCTTCTTGATTCATTTATGCTTAAAACCCTTTTCTAGAGAAACATGAGCCTGTAAATTTCATTTTTACAAGACGCTTTTACCTCATTCCCTATTTGGCGACTTCGCTTCATGTTTGACTATATAATATGTGATATGAAGGGTGATAATGAGTCTGTGGCACAATCTCCTTTCTCCTCCCTCCCTCCAACCCAAGGTGCCAGACTTCTCATGGGTCAATTTTGGGGTCATGTGCGACACGATTTATCATTTTTGGGTGTTTCAGAACCACTTTACTAACGCACCGAGTTGCCTCGTGTTGAGTGGGTGGATCTCAGTAGTAATTGTTTAGCTTCTAGCAAGTACAAGTTTCGGGTTGCAAGCCACCATATATGTACAACGCAGGCATAGTCTTCTGGGCATAGAGCGGCGCGCGTCTTGGAATTGCGGGACGGGTACCTCAAGTGGATCACAATCGGATCGGTTAGCGAACATTCCTCTCCTAACGGCGCCTTTATTTGAAGGTTACCGTTATCTCCTGTCATTTCCTTGATAGCTTCCACGACTTTCTCTCTCTCGCTGTTGTAAATGTAAATCAAGTGTTCATTTATCATATCAGCATGTTTCGAATAGTCTGTTGTTGTTAACGGGCCATGAAGATTTAAATCGACCAACAGAACGGAACTTCTTCAAACTATAGATCCACCCATCGACCGTGTGTGTTCATTGGACACATTCTCAACAACCGAAGATTCTGCATATTTTTCGTGCTTCTTTTCGCTGCACTAACTTTAAGATGGAGCTGTCATTCGGAAATGCATGGCGGATTCTTAACTGCAAGCGATTGCGCTCCATTTAAACCTCACTTCATAAACACTTATATTTACTTTGTTGTTTCAGACCTGCAGATCTGCGAACGCGTACCTCAATCGCGTCTGGTGAACCGGTCGCTCTTCTTTGACTTGGTTCGTATCGGCATGTTGGACATTTTTGCGGGCGAAGATGAGGACGTCAAAAATAATCGCGAGCCCCGACTCAGCAGCGCGCGTCTCCACATGTGGCGCGGTAGACGCAGGTAACCCTCCTCCCTGTATTCATCACAAGGCTTGGAGGAGCTGTCTTTGATTTGTCCATCTTTCATTCCAAAGGGAGGTAGAGAAGTTGTGATTAAAAGACTGGGAAGTTTCTATTACAAAGCATGACTTCTTATTGTTTTCGTTAAGTATTTACAGAATTAATCAAAAGCGATCTATGGTTGAATTCCAAGTAACAAACATGTGAAAATATTTGTATGCATTTTAATTGCTAGTTGTAGACTCGAGCGTGCTCCCATTCAAGTGGGAAAAATTTTAGATCCAAAATGTTCCCAATCTGCTGCATCATTTATCATTTGACTTTTGTGCCAATTGAATTGCATTATTTAAATCGAGTCATTTGACACTCCACGCAATGGTTAACCAATCAGAACATCGATGGTGTGTCCAAATTGTCGGCCCCAGAAGCAAGCACGATTTACTATCGCATTTTCCCGTTAAATAGTTTTCAGGCCTTGACATTTGAATTGAAAAAAGGGATTTCGGGTCGGGGTATGCCCTATCTACTGCTTTGTACTTGAGGTCCAATGGTCTGGGTTATGTTTAGAGGTAAACCAAGCAGATAGCCTTCCATTTTTATAGCCAAGTTTTACCCCTCTGAGGGTTAATAGTCTGGGAATTTGGATAAACACTTATCAATCTTTGCCTAAATTTTTACTAATGAAAACTTTTTAATAGCAGTTGAGCTAAACTGGCGACCGACATTATAATGGCAAGTCAATCAGTAGCAGTGGGAAGACTGTTTGAGTGGATATCTTTGATTGAGTGACCTGTATATCCTATCCTGTGATCATGTGGTTAGCTTTTTAAACATAATCATTGAAAAGTATTCTTTTTTTTATACCTAATTTGTTTCTCCATTCAAAACCTTATCGCCATGGCCTCATGCGATCACTGTATTTCATTGAACGAGATCGGTAGTGCTTTTCTTCAAAAAAGATTAAATTGTCATAGTAGATTAACAGGCAAACTCATTTTTCACTTTACCTTTTCAGCTTGCTTTGCCTATTTTAATTTAGTAGTCAGCTTTCGTTGCGGCTGTAAACACATCTAGCCCCTCCGCTGTCAAACAGTCCCCCTTTCTTCATTGACTTGGGAGTGAATTACAGCATCTCAGAGACAAAGATGACTTTATTGTTGACATCATTATCCAAGTGGTTGATTTTGAAATCGCTTTTGCAGACCCGAAAGTCAGTCACGTTGGGAGGCCATCCTAGCTCCGCAGTTGGAGGCAATATTGGGAATGTCCCTTGACCCTGCAGCATCTCTGGGTCCTTCGCCCCCGATTTTGCCCAAACCCCAGGTCTTCGATCCCTCCGTGCTGCGTAGCAGTCTTGTCAGGTGGACACTCAACTCGAAGACCTGTTGGATCGAGCAGTTGTTGGAGATAGAGCTGCGTGATGAGGATTCCTCTTGGTTCAACTTTAAGCCCTTTGAGGAGCAGGTCATTAACACTGCTGTCAGGGATATTGCGAATGAGCTTGCCGAAGACATGGTAGTTAGTGTTTTGAAAAAGTTGAATTACGGCAACAAGTGGAAGAAGCAGAGGGAGGAGGAGCAGAAGAAAACCGAAAACAGCGTGGTGTTGCTTTAGTCAGTCAGATGGTTTTGATATTGATGTTGTTAGTGTATATATGCATATATGCATTTGTAACTGATCTTCCCGTACTTTCTTTCCATGCGACCCAAGGTCATACGCTTACAGGGCTTTGTATGCTCCTACATATGCTTATTGTTTATTAGTGTGGTAATTGCACTATTGAGGAGGACGGAAGCAATATTTTGTAATACTTTATGCTCTATTTACTAAACTAATAAACTTGACAATGCGGATTCAAGTTTGATTTTGGGAGACGGCGCTGGCAATTCCGGGTTTTGCCTTAGCGTTTGTCATATATGTGGTATTTGTTCTTTATCGGCGTGTTTTAGGGAATTTAATTGGGGTTGAACCGTAAAGTGGATATGAGATGGTTCCTTAATTCAATCGCAATTGCAGGTTAGTTTCATAAAAAGTGAGTCGGTGTCATATTAGACGTCTGATGGGTAATGTTCAACTTTTTTCTCCGCCCCCAGCACAGAACAGCGGGTCATTTGTCTTTACACATCTGAGGGTGAATGAGTAGTTTGCTGGGAAAACATGAGTGGAAATGTGCACTTGGCCTGAAAGAGTACTGTTGCTGCTTCCAAGGACAGATAGCTTTTTCCTAATCCTTTCTTCCAAAGACGTAATCGTCACTTAGTCCCCCCACTAATTACCGCATTTTACATAAAAGTCGTCTAGGAGTTATTTAAATATCGACTCGGTGGAGGTGGGGTCATTTCTCATTGATATTCCGCCGCCTAGGTTGGTTCCTAAGGCAGTACAGAACTTGGGATTCTGATATCGGGTGAAATGAAAAAGCAACAAGACTAGAGGCACCACCCTAGTCGTAGGCAGACATGATGGGGCAGGCTGGAGTCTTCATATGGTGCCATCAGAATAAAAGGAATTTCATGCATATTTTCGTTCAAAAGTGCGAGCTTTAATCCTCAATGGTAATAATTAGGTAGACTTCATTACTAACTTGCATGATTAATCTCCGGGACACTGCGCATGGAGTACGTGACCGCCGGCTGTGGCAGGAGACGGGGTGGCTCCATTTTCTCGTATTTTGATTGGCTTTGGCTTCCGTAATTGTTATGACTGTTAGCGTCCATCCGTATGTGATGTGAGCTGACCCTGTAAATTAGAATGAGATAGCTACCTTCGGGACATTCTGTAAAGTTTGGTAACTGAACACGAAAAAGGAATCTTCCAGAGAATCAAACCTAATACCTTTCTTGTGTTTGCAGACAGCTTCATCATCAGTGGTTTGTCGCGTTGGGGAAAGCTTGGACCTTGTACCAGAGAGTATTTTACTGAATACAAGACTTCAAAAAAGCTTCCTGTAGTGATTTATCCCCTGTTACACAAAATCTGCACCTCGAGGGCTACAGAAAATGCTTATATTTTGGTGGGAGTTTGACCTAAAGTGTGTGACGAGGGGCTTGTCACCATCAAGTTACATGATGTTGAGTACAGTTCAAGTGAAGGCAAAAGGTTACGCCGACGGACCTTTTTACGTACATATTGAAGGCAGTTGGGAAATTCCACAGTAATTTAAAATTCCATTCATCATTTCTTCTAATCGCAAAAACAACAGTTAACTCCCCTATTTTGCCAGCCCTTAACACCATGTTTTGGGAATATCGAAATTGCTTAAAAGCAGCAACTTTTAGTACACATGCATACCATGTATTACATTTGCCCCATGAAATAATTTATTTATTAAAGGAGAAAAAAATCATTTCACCTTTTCCCTCATCTGATGACGCCTCCACATCGTTACCATTGGTTAGTTGTGGAGGGCATTGATTGGCTGACTAATCTGATTGGTTATTTACTATACCCCTTACTGTGTCAACTTTCCGTCATAGCATAATTGAAACTCACTTTGACAATTTTTCCGACCCTTTCGGGAACCTAAAATACCGTCTTATTTCCATTCTACTAATAAAAGTGGGGAACTTTATCACTTCCAAAAATTAAAATAAATGCCTACTCAAGGTATATAGATGACACTGGTCCTGGAGGTAGCATAGGGCCAACTACTTGGCTAATTTAAATACAAAAGACTAATTTCCCATGACAAAAACGGTAAAAAGACATGCTATTAGCCTAATTTGCACGTATCTGTGCAGGTGAATGGTAAATCCGAGCTGTCCCTTCAATAGAATCTAAATTCGGCGCTTTCCTGCAATTGTTAACGAGTACCACCAAAACAATAAATTGGCCCATGCCAGTATTCGGACTTATGCTAGAATACCTTTCGAAAGAAGGGAGGTTAGACAAGACATTACTGTTTAAATACTTGACGTTCCTTTCATTGAATACTTGTCTTGGAAGGATCAATATATTTGTATTAATTGACCTTTTTTCCTCCTCGACTTTTAAATGAAAAAACTAAATAGTATTAAAAAGTGACTTACATTCAGTTAAGCACTTTTGGGAAAAAAGAAAGAACTTCTAGAGATTTCATAGATTGAGTCAGGTATGAAATGTTATGAAGGTCTCCTGCCGGTAGATAGAACTTACACAAAGGCCTTTAGCTTTGAAATCACTTCCTAGGTGGTATTTTTCTGGAAGTGTTCTCGTAGCCGTAATACAATACCCACACCCCATATCTTGTACTAAAACGCTGCCATATATGTGGACACTTCTAGATTACACACAAAATCCACTTCATTGTTGGCAATAAAGTCGTACGAAGGAAAAGACAGTGATATCTTTTCCAAATACTTATTAGAAGCTTTCCAGCTAACCATTTCACCATTGGATGTGGCGTGCGCTTGAGGTCGATAGTGCTAGCTGAGCTAGTCTAGGTATGAATGCCAAGCCTCCCCGACACACCACCTATTTGGCCGTGATTTTATAGGTCCTGTGCATAAATGGATTATATACTCTCAAGCATGATTCGAAGTGTGCGCATGAATGCAAGATTGCGGCTTCAAATCGAGTGCCACCCTTTCTATCTCTCCCTCTTTCTGTGTCTATGTGTGTGCGCATGCTTGAGCTCACTCATGCAATCTCAATTTCACTCCCTCATTCTGGCGTCAGCCGCACAGAATTACGTGCCTTAGAGCACACCTGCACCACGTGGATTCCACTGGTGCCAATCCTGCTTTTCCGCCTATTTAATTACCACATGCACAAGCCCATCGAGAGGTGCGGAGGGAGAACTACACGCGCGCACATCACATGCGTTTTCCGTATTTGGCCCTGGTTGAGACATCAAGGCTGTAGCTTTACTTTTTACCTTCTCCTTCTTCTCCATTATAAAGGCGTTTGAACACTCCATAGAGAATGGGAGCCACACATTCGCATGGTACCAAAAGGTGGGCTGCGCCACAGCTGAATTCGAAGCCGAAGTTGACGGACCTTTCCCTGGACGCCTTCATTACCGACATGGTTAAACAGATGGTGGGACGCACTGTAGATGCTGTAATTGAGGAAAAACAACCAAAAAAGTCCAATGTAGTCAAAAGGACGGAAGAATCCAAAAGGGTATGATTTTGCAGTAAAAAAACAAACCCAAGTTGCTTTGCTGTATTTTGTCATGCAACTCTATGGCTAATGAACTCATAAAACAAAACAAAAGAGTCTCTTCCTAATTAGCTAACCCATAAGGTTGCCAAATTCCAGGAAGTTTAAGCCCTATTATCAAAGTCTGGACTAATTTTTAAATTGAAATGACAAAAACGTAATTATTTTTACTCTTCTTCGAACAATGAGCTAATTCAACCGGATACTTTACCCACTGCTTTTGTACTTCTTAATTTTACCTGAATAAAAATAGGAAGGAATATTCCTACATTTACAGAGCAATTAGCGTTAAGTTCTGGGAATTTTAAAGGGAAATAAACCACAAAATTTCTAGAAACATGATTTATTTCATCATATGTTTTGTAATAAGACTTTTAAAATTTTCAAAAGTGTAAAACTTACACTTCCACCAATGTTTTAGTTAATCGTGCAACTCCTTCCTGTGTCGTGTTTAATGTTGGGGAAATTGCTTACTTTGGACATCTGGGGAAGCATAAGGGTTTATACTGCTCTGTAGTGCGTTTCTAGCGTCATATGACCATACCTCTACTGCCAAAGACCAGTAGTACCAGTGAGAAGGAGACGAGCTAGCAAATTGAGTGCCATCTTTGGAATAGCTCAAACATCAACCTGTAAATAATTTGGTTTTTCATTATCTCACATAGATTCAAAAAATTTAGTTAACTAGTTTCATCGTCTCCAGTTGTTTTTTTGGAAAATGGCGGTGATTACACATTCAGCACCTATAGAGAACACTTGAGGCATAATTAGAAGTCGGGGTCGCTTTCATGAGGCCTCTGCCTGTAAGTATTGCGTGGGGCTTACTCACAACCACTAAACAATTTTTGGTTTAGCAAGATTCTAGTCTACTTAAGTGTTCACAAAATCCACCGTTTTGATTCACGATTGGAGCGGTTGAGCAAAGCGACATCTCCGGAATCGGTCACAGTCATTCCACTCGGCTTCACACCTTTGGGCTATGACTTAACTACTTGATTAACAAGTACTTGTAAACATCTTTCAAAGGGTATTTAATGAATCAAGTATGTCTCAAGATATATAGGTTGGAATTAACGAGATTAAAGAGGGAAGAAACTTCGTGATCTAATGCGAATACACGGCCCATTGGAGAAATGTTTGACCCCTATTTAATTGTTTAATGAAATAAGGTCCACAGATCACGTGAAACGTGTCACTTTTAACATCTACTTCACAGATGTACCGAGTGTTTTAATAAGAATCCAGTTTGAGATTTATCAAAGGCATTTTACGTCAAGCTTCACTTCATTTAGGAAATAAGATGAAAGGTAGTTAAGTTGACAGATAATTGACAGAATTCGACTATGATTTACTCGGCTCCCATGTAATTTGGCAGGAAAAAAATAAAATCATTTAGTTCCCAATTTATGTCACTCTTTCAGAGGGTACTTGTCTCAAAGTGCTGTGAGTAGGCACGGGCCTGAGTCACATTCCGGAGCATAGACGCGATTAGTGCTGTCACGTAGTTGAGACATGCATCAAAACTATCCACTTGACCATCTTCTCAAGCCAGTTGTCAGATTATTTGTGGTCTTGCATCTTTATTGTAAAATTTTATGGTATTTTTCAAAGTCCTACGTTTTCAAATGGCCTTAATGCGATCGAAGTTCCCATTGTTTCTCCATCAATGTTGATCTACTCATGATATTGTATACTGAGGAGTTTTAACAAGGCACGAGACACTTTTACGCTGTTTTTGAGGCAAAGTAGACAGCGTAGCTTACTCATTTTCCCTCTACTCGTTCTCATGAAGGTTAAATTTCCCTACTTTATCTGTTTTACGATCCTGTATGGATTGTTACAAGAGGGGCGAATTATTCAAAGTCAAATGAGCAAGTTGGTGAAAATAATTCCATCCTTTCTACATTAACAGCCCTCAACAAACTCTAAGGTGGGTGAGTCAGATCTGGAAGTGCTCAGTTCTACTAATGATTTCTTTCAAACCACCCTGGAGGACGATCACCTAGATGAGTCTGACAGTACTCCATGCCGTTTCATGGAAGATGATGAACTTTCCAGCTCTTCAGCATCATCTTCATTGCAATCTACCAGCAGCTCCTCGCCCCTGGAGGACTCCACCAACGCACTCGCCGCTTCTCCCCTACCTGGAATTGTGAGCAATCTACCTTTTTTTTAAGGAGAGTAGATTACTAGACGTAAATTCTCTGGGAGTGAGGCCACTCGAATCCCATTGTACCTAGAGCCCCACTGTTCTGTCAGAGTTTTGTATAATTTGAAGTACATCACTGTGATTTACATTAATCAAAATTTCATTAACATCCATGAAAAGTGCTCGGCATTACTGGATGCACTAATCTGATTCCCAACTCGTTTTGAGGACTTTTCTGCTATCAAATTCACCAAATTAACTTTTGCCTGGTTTCATTGATTATCAAGAAGGTATGATGCAGAAATACTCGGTTTCACTGAGCAGCCACACCCGCTAAAGACTCCCCTTTATGGTCCTGTTGACTACTTGAATTCATTTACATGGAACCAGAATGTATGTTTGATTTTGGTCTCTCCCTTAGCCAGAAGATCAACTGGTCGGGTTAATTGTCAATATATCCTCACGAGTGGCACCGCTATTCAAAGACGGAATGCAGTTCTTTTGGAACTTGCGTACTACATGCAAGTCTGGAACATTCGAAAAGGCATTGAGGGAGGCCACATATCCACCGCGCTTCAGTATGGACTGTGTTGAAAAGGAAGGTGGGTCATTCACAGGTACCATTTATGTCCAGTCTCTTGGAAATCACAACCATCCGGACATCATGCATGTTCTTCAAATTCGTTGCATAATTTTATTTTCTAAAAGTTAGCATGCAAGTGGACCTCCTAAACCTGAACGCTGATTGCCCTCAAGGAATCAGACGTACTACAATCATTAAGTAGTAACCTGTCCACTGTCCTTCTAGACTCTAAGGTTGTCTTAATTGGATTCGTTTAGAAGCAGTAAAATAGCTTTTTTTATTTTCTTTTCTGAAGACAAATCATAATTCAAAATGGAGATTTCAGGAATTAGAAACTCACTAGCAAAACATGACGCCTAGTTTTTATAGATTCGCTAATGTAATGGAATTTTGTAACTTTTCTTAGAGTGAAATTAAATTACTCAGCTTTCACTTTTGAAATATTCGCGATAGTAGAGCATCCCTAGTTTACGCCAGACTACTGAAAGTGCCTATTTAGGCGAAAATTTTAAGAATAGGCAGTTTCCTTTTCATCCACTCAGCGTCACATCAATTCTGGGGTACCAAAGCAGTTCTTTTTCGTTTACTTTAGGTTAATAAGCCGCAAGGATGAAAGCCCGTGTTTTTTTGCCCCTTAGATGTTGAACTCTGCGAATCGGCAGAAGAAATGAGCTTCTTGAATCGGGCTCTCTTCTTCGACCTTATTCGTGAAATACTTCAGCGTATTTACGAAGGTGAGGACGAGGATGTCCAAGTGAATCGAACACCTGTTGTGAACAGCGCCCGATACAGACTGTGGCTTGGAACTACACGGTGAGGGGATTTTTGTCTAACCCTTGATTAATAGATCAAAACTATTCATATTTAGCATATGATGAAGATAGACAACTAACGATAGAAACGGAGTTTAGGATTAGTCGAATTATTTTCTGCATTTTTAAACAAAAATGACGTCGAACGCTACAAAGCCTTCATTGTTTACCCTGGTTTCTCTACTAATGGATGCTATCAAGACAACTAATGAGGATGATTTGTATTTTTCTCACAGTTGCATTTTAGCTCTGGAAATAACATCAGAACTGACAATGTGTGGAATAAATACGTCAAAGCTGTACTTTGCGTAGACATGTGCAGATAGCCTGCTGACATCTAGACTGGCATGGGAATTTCGTTTGCAACAGACCCCCATGGGCTGATGCCAACCAGTTCTCGTTTAATCGCAAAAGTTAATGTCTAATGCAGTAAAACTAAGAAATTGCCTAAGCGCTGTAGTCTTTAGTGCCGCAATTCCTACCATTTTATTTAATGTTTACGCATCATTTTAATGGACTGTTTTTAAACAGTTCCTTATAAGGAATTACGTAGCGTAATCTTGTGTCAATCTATTGCCGTTGGGTGTTGCGTAATTTATGATATTTACTATATAAAAGCGGAAGACTACAGTCTCGCGATATATGATCACTGCAACTTAAAATTTACACTCTGTTACTATGGTCGTAGTGAATTACTGGTACTCTGACTTTTATAAAAAATCCAAGTAGAAATAGCCCTAACAGCGATTTGTTTCAACTTTTCAGTCCATACCATGAAAAAGGAAAGTATTTAAAAGCAGGAGTCATCAAACTGTCTGGTAATATAACCCCAAATTGTATTATTAATTATCAAATAGGAGTTATCGCGTTTTGGAACAAATATGAGATTTTATAAAACCTAGTGATTTCAGGAACAGTCCCATGTTTTAAATCAAAACCGTGCCATTATATTACGGATTTAAATTTTTGAAACAAATCTTTTTTATTCCTTAGAATTCAAAGATGGCCTAGCATTGTCTGCTTTGCATTAATGGGATGTTAAAGATAGTTTTCATGGATGTCATTTTCAAATAATTTGACAAGTTAGAAGCAGACTAAGGTCCTAGCTTTTCAGTCTTGATTTTCGAATACAAATCGGTCAATCCTCCCTTTAAATGGCAGTTGATTCTGGTGCACCTTCACGAACAACACTCCTCAGACTCTACACATGATCCGAATCTTGAAATGTTACGAATGCTGTGCTTGTCACTGTATTCATCAACCTTTTCATCTACTGGATGCCCAATTATTATGGATTTAAAAACTTCCTCATTATTTTAGCACCTCTTGTCTTAAAGACAAATTAAACACTTTTAAGAACTGTCAACAAACACTTCCAAATACTTAAGATGGTGACTCTTGACTAAATAAGATAACAGTACTAAGAGAATCTAAGAATTCAGTTTGTTGTTCGTTTCTATTTGCAGACCAAACTCATTAACCTTGCTAGAGCGCATAATTCGAACAAACCTGGAAACCGAATTTGGCATTTCATTTACACCGGCCTGCGACGCTTCTCAAAACAATTCCATTTTGAATCCCTCCCCACCCCGTGTGCTCACAGATATGAATCGACTGTCTCGGCTGGCCCAGTGGACCGTTCAACGTAAGGACTGGCTTGACCAAAGACTGGAATTGGAAATGCGAGCAGACGAGCACACTTGGTATAATTACAAACCTTTCGAGCAAAAGTTGTTGGATAATCTGACCTTAATGGTCATGGCAGGCACGTTCAATGAGGTATATGATGAATGTTCCAAGAAGGTTGCAAAGGAGATTTATTATGAGGATGCGCAGCTGCTGAATGGGGAACCGGAGCCAGAGATGAAAAAAAACTTCGAAACGGATTTCGTCCGTGTTCGAAGCCCAAGCTCAATGTCGGGAACAATGCCATGACATTATGCAAGAAAAATAGGAGCCGAGGAATGCTATGTACATAAAAATATTTTTTTAATGATTTCGTACCTTTACCCAAAGGAAATGAATTTTGGATTGCACTGTAAGAATGTAGCGGACCAAGACTTCCCTGAAGACGAAGGAAGACATAATACTCGGGCAGAATATAAATGTTCAGCACAGAGAAGGTATTTGAGCTACTGGCATGGGCCTAAAACCAGCCCACCCGGCGTAGTACAAAGGCCAAGTCAGAAGTGGCCCCCTCGCAAATACAGAGAGATAAACAACCATCATACTAAAGGAAACTAGTTTCGCCCACACTTATATCAACAGCTTTGAAAGGAAACAGGTTTAAATGTAAGTATGTCGACAATCCTTCACTAAAATTGAGGCAGCTAAGCTCTGCCTTGTTAAAAGTTATTTAATAACGGACGTTGTACTAATTGGCCTGTACGAGTGAATGAAGCGAGGCTCTAAATCTGTTGAAATACTAACTCCAGGTTTTTATTCCACGAAGTGGCATTTGTTTCAATTGGCGTTGATTTTAGTGGGCATTTCTTTCGGGTTGGTTTGTGCTTCAAGTTTGACCTAACGGCCATACCAGAACCCTCTTGGGTCTTCTGCATATTAACAGATCTGCTTCCCTACTACTGTGATATTATGATGCACCACTTTGATAATATTAGTAAGCGAGTCCGACCCAGGTTATAGAAAACAGCATTAGTGCTGTAAATAACCGACTCTACAAATTTAATTTAGAAGAGTTAAAACGGAATCCCGAGGGGTCCGATTTGTGACGTAGCCTAGGATCTTGACATTTCTTCCAATTTTACTTTTACAACGAAAGATAGTTGGCATGGTTGGGATGCTTGCTCTGGGATATTGTATGGCTTTAGTACAACCACGAGCTACCAATGGCAGTGTGGTAGCCCTTCGCCTTATAGAATGTCCCTCATTCAGAAGTCGTGATCCGACCTCATGTATGTTCTAATACGGATGCAAGGTATTCACCCTCTAATGCAAGTCAGCCATCGATTTCGACCCTAGCTCGTGGTGCGTTGCAATTTCCTGAAGTAGATGAGCAACCACTGGAAATGACAAGGATACCATGTAAATAGAAAGGGTGGCTGCTTACGGGTCCGACTTTTGCTTAAGTGTGCAAACTTAACTGCTTTTCGGCTTAGTCTGTGCTATTTGAACTTCCCTTATTAAAGTTTTGTCTCCAGATTGTGCTTATAGCCCCAAACTGTTGCCTTTACAAAATAACTCGGCTTAGTTAGGCTCTGAAAAATATTTAGAATAATAAATAATAACCCAAACTTATTATATTAAAAATTAAATAACGCTTATTGACATCTTTTTATAAAGCTTTTTGAAAGGATTGACATGTTTTACGACTCCATTACATTGCCTTTACTTTAAGTGAACTACTAGAGGTTTGCTCGGTTCAAATATTTCGGCGGTTTGATGCCCCGTTCTGATAGGTATGGCGCTAAAACCCGGTATATTCTGGTTTTTCTACTAAGAAATGTTGAGTTTATTTGTTTACAAGGTTAAGGCTTGTCAATACTTTGAAATAGATCTTACCAGGTTTAAAGCGCAACCATTCCTTGCAATGCCATGCATACTACATTTGCCTCATTTATTCAATTGCAAAACAGAACCCGTCATTCGCGTCACAGGCCTCGACGGAGTCGTTCGCGTTCTTTGTAAGTTTGGGGTTGGTTTTGTACGATCAGTTGCTAGGACTACTATTGAGCCCTTTTTTACTTCAGGAGTCGTCAATCTAAGCACCACAATGACCGGAGTCGGACACGAAGTCCGTAAGTGTAGATTCGTACTTTGCTACCACCTAGCTCTTATTTTCTGGTGTCTTGATTGCTGAAGCTTTACTTATGAGTTTTAAGAATAGTGACAGTTTGATTTATTCGTCCTTAATTTTGCAGCGAATCGCCGTCCGGAATAAAAATTCAGTTGAAGTAAGCTTTCTCCTCGAAATGTGTGCTTTTTTGGACAAAGGTTTTGCTTATGAGCATCGTTTCCCATGCTCTTCCCAGGCCATTGGTTTTAGCCTCGGACAACGAAAAGCTTCGCAATCAGGATATTGACTTTATCGAGACTTCTGGCTTCGTACAGACTGCCTTTCGTTCCTCGCGAAGCGGTGATCAAGTGAGTGTAAATTTAAAATTGTTGGTCAGTTTAAGGTTTTATGTTTAAGCGAAAGACCATCAACTACAAGTGTTACATCAAAAGTCACCATTTTTTTGAGCCATGGGGGATAAAGATGTGTGATTTGGTATAATGCTAGAGATTGCCTAGGCTTGCATGTACATCCGCATGCAATTAGTCTCTTTCTTGGATTTGTTTCAAATGTCGCCATCGAGTAGTGTCGAACTGTTATAATCTTACAGAATATTGGTTCAGCATACCTGGTTTTTACTCATGAAGCTAACGGACAATAATTATTAATGGCCGCATCTTTATTTGTTCACGTGATAAAAGGGTAACAAATGGAGAATATCTTCCAGTGTAGGAAGCTGATATTTGATGAATGATCACCCCTAAGTTCGCAGTAAAAACTATTTCAGAATGACCAATCCAAGAGAAAAAGTGTGAGATCAACGGTTTCTTACCACGTAAACCTAGCTGGATCATGGAGAATCTACAAAGATGTTGGGTCATCGAAGAACCGCAGACAAGTTGGGTACTGTTACCTAACTTTAACAAATGAGCCGTTTTATTTTATGGCTAAATTTCAATTGAAAAAATAGTAATAAGTTAAAAGGTAGTCCGAGGAGCTTGCTTTTTCCTAAGAAAAAGCCATTGGATAAGGCCTCCCCAAGTACTTTAGTCGTTAAAGTAACCGCTATTATAGTTGATAACTTAACGCAACAGGGACTTGCGATTCCAATTTTTTAAACGCTTTGACCCCCAAAATCAAGAAGAAATCTGACTCTGACTACTTCGTTTTTATTTCAATCTTACTTCTCAACTGTTGATTCGATTTCAAATGCGATTCTCTAATATCTGAAAGAGGTGACAATCATCGTTTGGAGAAATTTGTGAGGAATGCAGAAGATGAGGATGGTATAGTATCTCCTTTCCACCCCAAGGCGCGGTAAGGGTTCCCATTAAATAGGCTTGGTGGAATGAGGCCTTGAATCGCCTTGAAAGAATAGTACCATTTCCTAACTGGTTGACTGGGACTAGACCTTTTTGCAGAAGTTCATTTTGCTTGTGTTCGAGGCCTTTCGTATTAATTGGATGGACCCCAACCGTAATTATTTGCCTTTATGAACATTTACATATGCGGTCTATTACATATACACAAAACAGTCATATTTTTTGAGGATAAAGTGGGTGGATTGTTCGGGTTCACCATTGATATGTTCATTTGCTTAACGAACGTTTGGATCTAGAGCCATTTCTCATTGCAAGTGGTCGGTTGCCAAATGATTCTCTTTCAGTGATATGATTTTTGTAACATGAAAGATGCGGAATGACGCTAGCTAATGTATGCACAATGTGTTAGTCTCGGGATCGAGTCCGAAGGACTGGTATTAATAAATGTCACAATTTGTTAGAAGTTCATGGGTAGTTTGGATTCGTTAGCTGTGAGTAACTGTCACACTGCTTCATATATCACACGAACCACACGGATTTATGTTATACATCCCCTCACCAATCTTTAAGCAGCACTTGATGCAAGAAACTCGTAAAGGAAAAGGTTGCAAAGCAACCATCAAACACAAATACTATTCTTGCTAGTTGAAATGAAAGTGCAGCTTGGTGACTTTCAGATGTGATGGTCTCTAATTTCATACAGAATAACGAAGGCAGTAAATAAAGCTATGTGCGTGTAGAAGGGATGTTTGTGTTGAACCGGGAATTTAGGAAGAATAGGAATCTGTTTTGAGGGGTTGCAACTGGTTTAAGTATGGACGTCTTTGAAGGGTTTATACCTATCAATTAGATTTCTTCCTGTCACCGAGTGCTGTATCATCTTTGTGTACTTGGGGTCTTTTGTAGATATCCGCACGTTCGAGTTTTGTTTCAGATTATAAGAGATTTTGTCACCTCCTACTTTTCATGCACATGCTACCACTGTTACCTGTCATCTTGATAAGTGTTAGCTATGCCTACTTCTAATAGGACTCCTCCGCGACTTGCAATTGTTCGTAGCGCCATAGCGGTAGCCTACCCTGCCGAAGCGGTAAATCTAAAAGTCCCAATATGGCTTGGATATGATTTGTACAGTTAATTTCCTTTCTTATTCAAATAAGGTATCCAGGTATCTCATCCATTGTAGAAAGTTTGTCTGCGCATGTTTACTTCCTTCATATACTTCTTATTTAATGACACGTTCTTTTGATAAAGCATTTACGTTATGTGAAGTATCGGCATTTTCGTACGTAGAAAAAGGACATTTTAATTGTGATTCGACAATTATCAGACACGCCTGCCACCGAACTGAAAAGAGAGTAAAAGATTCATCTGATTTACTTTCGGGTGCACAACAGGAAAGGAGGATTTTATGTGGAGATGGGACTTTTCAGGGAAATTACCCCCAACTTTGGATGCAGAGAGTGAAGAGATTGTGACTGATTTCACATTTTTCCCATTTTGTACTTGTTACAGACCTTCAAAGTACCGTCGGAGACGAGTAGCACTGGTGGTGTGGGACTAAATACGGTGAGTGCTGCGAGTGGTCAGTATGAGGCATTGGTACGTGAGCGGGCCCACGAGGCAGCCATTTTCGGAACGGGACACTCGCAACCCCTCGACAGCCTCTGCCTAGGTGCGCGGCCCAGTGATGATGGCGGCGGTGGTGGTGATGGAGGACAGAAACTCGTGCCCACCACGCAGGTGGTCAAAGAGATCATTCATCCTCGTGTGAGTCCCGAATTATTCCTTCACTGAATTTCTCTTCCTTCTGTTCCTCCTTTATTCCTGATTTTTATGATCATTAGTGGATTAGGGTGATGTATTTGAGAAATTGCTGGTTCTGTTGCACGCAATCTTTCCTCTTCCACTCTAAAATATTTGTTTCTTCATCTGCCTGCATGTATTCTCCTTAATACAGCTTTTTTACTTCAGATCTATATGATCTCTTACCCATCTACCCTTGTGTAATGAATTGGCAATAGCTGTTGTGTTCAATTGGCTTTCGTGAATAAGACCTAATAAGTTGCTGGTATGTTTCGTGCTTATGTTTTGACAGTGGATTCAGGTTGGTTTCCTTCCTGTCATTTGTTTGTTTGCTTATTGTACTGGAGTCCACAACCTTTCTGGATGCCGTCGATTTCTTTCTCCTTTTGCTCAAGTAGTGCAGTATTGTTAAAGTGGTAACCGTATCAAATCTTGGCTGGGTTACCTTCGATCCCAGTAAAATTACTCACAGGTCGCATGTGTCTGCCATGCTCACAGTTGGGATCTTTTATGCGGCTAGTTCGTCCCTGAGATTAAAATCGTCTTCCGTACTCACGCTAAGCTTAGTGATAATTCAAACCGTCTAGGTCGAACCTCATCTGCCGTATTTCATATCTACTTTTGCCCAAAAATCAAACTA